TAGTTTGGAGTTCTAGTGAAATTATTATATTTCACACTTGTTTGAGGACAGACTATGTGCCAAGAAAACCATGGTACAATAATCTTTATAAAAAAGGAAATGTTCCATGATTGGCTTGTGGGCTGAATACTGCCAGGTTGCCCAGGCCAAGGCAGGTGAATTTTCTTGAGGAATCCACAACCGGAGCCTTCGGCTAGCCAAAGCCTGACCCGCAAGGCAGTAGGGTGGTGTATGAGAACCGCAGTCCATTGGGATCCGGTGTCCAGTTCATTGGATCATACGCCCTTCGGACGGGGTCAGACGTCCAAGGTGCCCAATACACCTCAATGCCCAATCGAGCCGCTGACCACTGCCCCAACCGAAAAGGTGTGGGTGTGGTTCGTATGCCTCCTTTTGGATGGTTTGGAATCAAGGTTTTCAGCCAACTCCCCTAAGTGAACTACCAGTAGTCCACCAACCCGGTTATAGCCCCGGATGTCGGCTTTTCGTCCTCTCACTTTGGTGGGAAAACACCTCCGCCGCAAGAAGGCAGTGAGTAGGGCTTCCTCATCAGAGGCCGTTTGAGACACTTGGTCGTATGGGAGCATTTCGTGAGGTGCAAGAAAATGGTGACTAGCCGCAACCCTAGACACCCACTCCCGACCATACTGAGGCTTTCGGAGTGAAAGATTAGCTATGTATGCAAAAATGTAAGACAGTGGTACTGCACCGTGTTTAAGAAGTGTGGGACTTAAGTTTTCTGGACCAGGTGCGTCGACACCTTGAGAGAACGTACATGTTTATACATTTCACTAGAGGTAATAGATTCAAACGAAGATAGGATGTTTGGAGAACTCGAGTCAATACAACCGGGGCATGTGTTGGGCGAAGAATGAATAAATGCAACATTTGTTTGTTCAATATCAATAGAAGAACTGGAAATAATTTTCGCCTGTCTGCAGAGTAGTTTGCTTCTACACCGCAAAGATTTACAGTCCCTCACCCAAAAGAAAGCTAACTTGCCTAAAAGGAATCCAACCGTCTTATTCCACTCTTGACCGGATAAGATAGTCGTTGCATTTCAGCTCTCCTGTCACATTTAAACGCGCGTTCATTTTACGACGAAGACTTTTCCAAAAAGGTGTTGATATTCTGCCTTGTTGAGGAAACAAAGTTGTCACAGGATAGCACGTATCAAAAAATAGTTAAACACATTTGTTAGAAGTGTTATATTGAACAAACAGGTTATGTTTCAAGGAAAACAATCGGTAACTAATTTAGGAGACTCTCTTAGAAGAGCAATGTTGTCTGGGGAAAGATTTTGGCTGACAAAACCTGATGTGTTTAGGTCGAGTAAAAGATAAATGTCCCGAGTGTGAGTAAATCCTAGATCTGACGAGGATCAGGTCATCATCATTGGTGCTTAAGGGGAAGAACTGTTTGGTAGAAAATGTCAGCGAGATATATGATTTAGATGAGAGGTTCCTCTAGTTGGCTCAATAAGGTCACTGAGCTTTAGAAAAAATGAAGGGTACAGGGGGCGTGGTTAAAGTCACTATTAGGCGCAAGCTGTCAACAAGAGATGGGAGCAACCAGTAGGAAATGATCATAAAATGTGTCAATGGCTGATAATCTACAGTAAGGTACGTGTACATTGGTGATGGCGATAAAAAGGAAGGCGGGAAAATTTGGTCACAGATGACAGTCAAACAATCAAGGCCATTTTGTGAACACCAGACGATGAGGCGAATGAATTAGCTAGCAAGTAGTTGAACTCTGCCCTCAAGCGCGTCTACTACTCCTCTGACTCGGTCATTGTCTTCACTACCAACGACCTCGGTGAAAGAACCACTACCCTCCCCTTCGCCAAATAAAACTTCATTTACTGATTCAAGTGTGGGTGTTCGGTCATCTGCATTGGCAGGACAGAGAGGAAGTTACGTCACCGAATGACCGAACACATCCCGGTGTGGCTTAAGAAAGTGTTGGATGACAAGTTTGAAACTGTTACATTATCCAATGATCAAAAGAGACAGATTTTCGACAACACAACACTTATTCGAACAAAAATATTGTATCACTCTAAACCACACATTTCAGATCTTGTGCAAACAGTCCCATGGAGCGCATAATTGGTAAACAGGCTCGTTTTCACTACATTTTAATCACGCCATTAAAACACAATACATAGGACTTGTAACCGATAAATAAATGAGATAAAATAGAAAACGGTCCGCTTGAAACATCGAAAAACGTGTGCTGTACAAACGTTACATAGACGGCATTTTGTGCGTGGTCGATTCCACAACGAACTGCCAACATATGCTAGATCATTTCAATGCCGAGCATCGGAATTTGAAATTCACCATTGAAAATGAAGTGCACAATCAGTTAGCACATTTAGACGTTTGCCTAACTCGATGTGATGACGGGTCCATTAGGGAATCAGTACACAGGGGAGCGACATGGAATGGGCAGTATACTAATTTTCGTAGCTTTGTACCACTCAGTATACTCTGTTTGACCAAAGAAGTTAGAAGAATCAGCAGGGAGGACATGCCGGTTGATGAACCCCGAAATGTGCGGAATATCTTCATTCAGAATGGATACCCTGAGCGCTCGATGGAATCTGTGATGCAAAGACGAGAGGCATTTCCCAAGAGAGATCACTGATAAGAAGTCTGTGTAAACTTCTTTAGCATTTAAAGGTGATACCTTGGCAGAGATTGTGCACAGAAGGCTACCAAATGTCATCAAAAAGACGTTCTACGCAGTTAAGCTCCAAACCCGATTCACATCTAGCCCATTGGTGTATATACGGTTGAAGGATAGAGTGCCCGATTCTACTGCCTCTTTCTTTGTTTACTCTCCCTTGCTCCTGTGGGGCAAAGTATGTTGGCCGCACGATCAAGCGTCTGTCAGAGAGCATTTGTGAGCATCACCCTATGTGGTTGGATTGATGGTGTTGGATTGATTGATTTACTCACAAGTGCGGTTCTGCCGCACCTTGTCGAAACTAATCACATCGTAAACGTGATAGAAGCGTTCGGAACCGTGTATAGAGTTAAAACGGAACGGTCTAGAACCGTGCGGTTTCGCATTCTATCCACAGCGGAAGCAGTTAGTATCCGCCTTCACAATTTGCCGAGGCGCTAGTCATTCATACTATCAAACCCGATCAAAACATCGATTTTTCGATACACTCCGAACGTCGTTCAGATCTGACACTCTCAAACGAGAATGATTAGTCACATTACTGGGTGATTAGCCCCCACCCTATCGTGTTCTTTGTGTTAGTGTGTTGTGTTGTACGTTGTGATCAGCGATCCTGTCTTTGTCTCACGGTTATTACCTCAATGACTACAAAATTCACTTTGACTGTAATATGCACGTGTACAGATGCAGTGAAATGACCATGGATACATTGTGCAAACCCATGCTTCTGACTTCTATATTCTAATTGCTGCTGGGAAAACAGTGTTTTTAGATTAAGACTACAATAAACCTACCGCCAAAGGAGCTGTACGTCATCGGGCACGTTCTCCTGTTGCGGATAGAAGAACTGTTCCCGACATGGTTACTCGTGAACTTTGCTGTACTGAACAAACGGTCACGACCGATCAATGATTTTGGAGAATGCTGCAGATTCTCTCTCGACAGGTAATCCTCCTGCACTAAACAGCGCAGGAATCATCTAGAGTGGCGAGAATACCACTAAAAAGATTATTTACATCACCGTTTTGCTCAATAGGTAGCACCTGGTCGTTCAAGAGTTGGAGGCATCAGTCCGAAGAACAGTTCGAAGCGGCACTGAGGATTTATGTTTGTGCCATTTTCACAACTCTACTCATCGATTTAATCAACAGTCATGCAAGATGTCCGTGAGAAATGACATACTGTGTGCTATGTCGGTGCTTGAAGTGTCAAGATAACGGGCTGGGAGTCTAAATCTTGTATGACGTAACCGAATCAGTTTGGAAACCTCCGGGCTCTCTTGGACATTTCATACCACTAAGATGTAAGCTACTGTCTCTACCTTATTGAACTGGAAGACAACCCCAGGTTATATGATGTTGCTTTGATGTCGAGCTAACGAGCGCAGAACCCTTTTAGTATATCAAAATGGAAATCTCCCAGAATCAGCAAGGTACGCATGGTCAGTCGACAATAGTTGTACTCCGACGTTACTGATAAACAACTTTTAAACAAGGCTTTTGCAGTCCTTTCCTGGGTGCGATCAAAGGATTCTTCAAGGCGACATCTTACTCGTTGCAAACCACTGAAATGATTGTTTCCGGTTTGTGATGCAGATGCCACAGAAAACACGATAAATCAATCACGAGAGAATGTGAATCCCAGTGACGACATGTGAGTACCACACAGCTGTTATGGACCGTCAGCGACTACAGCTGCGAAGAGGCTGGTAACGGCAATGACAGATCGGGTCATCGTACATTCCCGCTTTAAGCTACACCAAGCAACCTGAAAGAAATCTTCTCCAAGATAAAATCGAAATCATTCGGCTGGACGTCACGAGGGGAATAGGAACGTTCTCAGGGGCAGTATGACTGAAAGCATTCGTTAAGATGAGATCGCAGATATGGTAGTGAGAAAAACATAAAAGCAGCCCTGATGGACACGGGACTGTGCAATTTGTCCCAAATCCACATCCCACTATGTCAGGTAAATCACTCAGTCCGAAATAACCGCCAATAGTGCCCGAAGGAAACAGCACACAATACTGAGATTACCACTGTTGCTACCGGTTTCGGCAAGATCTTTCAACTTATCGCGGTGATATCAGGTAATATATCCAACTGAAGGAAACAATGAGTCATTTCGCTATCCAACAATGCCCACGGTCATTGTAGTTCAGATACCTTCATCGGTTAATCAGTTCTGTATTTTGCCGCCTGTATAAAGGTTAAATAGTGGAAAAACCATATTTGATCAATTGGCATGCGTATCTAACCAAAAGGTAAATTGCATCATTATTATACGTGATGTTGGAAGAAAATGTTTTATTTTCCCTTGATCGAGATTTTGAAGGGTGCGGTGATACGAATTGGCTTAATTACGTCAGAGAACGGTAACCTTCAATTACTTTTTGATCACACATTATTGTGTGATAAACAACACAAGGGGTAAACCTAAAAATGACGATCGATCCAAGTGCCTACCGCCAAATTGGGATAGCAGTGACAGAGTTCGAGTCCAAGGTATTCCAATGAAAGCGAATTAACCCATTTGATGGCAAACCTAAATTCTTTCCTCCTGTCCTCATTCAGACGCTTCGCAATATCTGTTGGAGAACGGAACAACGCTTCGGTTCAGACAATCATGTTGTTCCTTATTACTTCGACTTGAACAAATAACTATCACTGTTTTCATTTGTCCGAGTGGTGCAGTTTCCTAACTCAACCGACACGGCTCATTTTGAGCGGCCACGGTGGTCTGCCCTCTAGTTCGAAAGAATACTAAACTTATTTGAATTTCACGGGGCTACATTGTTTGAAGAAATAAAATTGAAAATCATATCTTTAGTATATTCTTCAATCCAGTCCATCAGTCTGTAACAAAATCGGTCGGAGCACATTTTGACCGTCGCCTAATAGGGCTTTATTCAGTTCGTCAATTCAAATGATGTGCTTTAGGCCACTCTGCTACGGCTGATTCCCTGAAGAGAAAAGAGTCAGCTGTCAGTTACTGTAACTTCACACGAGATCTGCGTGAGTTCTGCCAGTGCTATCATTTAACACATTGAAACCTGTAATGAAAATTATATTTTTCATGATAAATTATTGTTCAATATCGATTCCGATGAGTAATAATACACCCCGTTATCAGATTTGTAACACTGCATACCGTCAGGACTCACCTTGGATATATGCACACCCAAGCCACGATGAGCAGCCGCACATTGAGTACACAGCGTTACGCCCAAATTGATACTAGCCCAATTGGCTTCCTCAGCGGAACAGTCGGCACACCGTCTATTTCCGGCCAGATCCGGTTCACGCCAAAGCACAATACCACCCTGACTGCGTAATCGATCATAATCGGGAATGGACTGTTGCGACGCACTCACCGAGGTTACGGTTGTGGTGTGGTTACTACGATTACCCAAATTATGCTGACGCACGCGTACGGCGGTAGTCTCACTCAGTGCAGAACGCCCGTCGCGAATCGAAGGGCTGCCCAGAGAAAGGCGGTCGACGACGGATGTTGAGACATCCGGGGATCCGTTCGACTGCTGCTGTTGTTGTTGCTGTTGCAAACGCAACAGACCCGTGCGGAGTGCCTCAACCCAGCGTTCCTTTTGCACAAACGATTCTGCCTGAAGTAGGTGAATTCGATTGCCTGGGGAGATTAATTCAAAGGTGAACCTGCGCTCGAAGCCAGCATTGCCTTCTCGAGCAGTGCATAAATGCAAATCTGGTTCCATTACTTTCCACTGGGGTTTGGTTAGTGTGTGAGGTCGACTTTGGGCAAGCAAGTCCTCAAAACTCAAACGTGGTACATGGACGTCTCGGTCAGTGACCCCTGCACGGGCTAGTTGACCTCGCATTTCATTCAGGGTGACTTCAGTAAACGACTGTAAGTCAGCAGAAGACAAATCTGGCAATCGTTTACAATAAACTAACTGATTGTCTCGAAGTCGAAACCAACGCCGGCTCCAAGAGCGCCAAGTTCTTTTGCCACTTCGCTTGAATAAATAACCCTCTAGACCGCGACTAGATGTGTTCGATAGTGCGTGGAGTGAGGTGGAAGAGGCGGACGGTGTGCTTTTCTCGTCTGATGCTGGAGGCACGTCTGCCAGAGAATCTTCAGGGCAATCCAAACGTCTTCCTGTTTCTGCCCAGCTGGTCAATTTGGTCAGAAAAGAGATTAGATTTGGTGTAGAATCTTCAGACGATTCCATTTGCGGCAATTCACCTCGATTTGAATCCGTCGGGTATAATTCGTCCGCCAGTGCTTGCTTCGCGGATAGTACCAGTCGGTTTGTTTGTAAAAATGTGATCAAAGGAGTGGAACTGATTGCAGTGCGTAATCCTGATAGATAGACTTTGGCAGCTTGGCGATAAGCGATGCGCATCTCTGCGACCTGTGCATCAGCAAATTTGAACTCCGCGTTCGGACGCCCAGGACCCAGACAGGCAGCTCGAGCGATGGCAGAATCCAACTGTTCGGATGCGCGTTGAAAATTAGCACGCACATTAAACAGGTGATCTAGTTGTGATCGTGCATCTTCCATGAGACGTTCCGGTCTAGCTAACTGTATAGACAACTGACGAATTTGACGAGCGAAACGCGTCAACGATTGGTTGACTTGAGACAAGCCTTTACACGCGTCATAACTGACTCCAGACCAACGACTAGGCAAATCGGCAACGGAACATGTTTGTTTCGGAAGTAGATCCAGATCTAAGCACCGAGCCAGATTGAACAAGGCAGAGGCAAAAGCTTCTCCCGTCTTTCAGGCGAATCGTTTTGCGTAAGAAACAAAAAGGGAAAGCGAGAAAGATTGAATTTAGAGACATGGATCGCCACACAGATAATTAACAAACATGGATAAGAAATCGATAGCAATACAGGGTGAGAAACGAAACTAGTTGGCAATTCGAGCACGAGAAAACAAAAAGGTATCAGAACGCATTTCACTAGATTTGAAACATCAGAAAAGTATGTATACCTCATTACCTAAGAGCTTTCTGAATAGACTGATAAGTGAATAGATAAGTGCATTCAGCAAGGTATCAATTGTTGCTACAATTCTGAACACCATATATTCAATGGATATTTTCCTATCACATGTTTTATGCCCTTTTAGTGACACACTAAAACCAAGTCAAAGTTGAACTAAACTTCCAAATGATACGATCATGAGCTAAACAGCGATCAGTGCAGTTCACTTTACAGTATCGTGCCGCATGATGAGGATTATCAAGAAACAAGAATACACTTCGGCGTGGTGTGATGGTTTGCTTGCCTCCATGACGCAGAGGGCTAAACAGGATGGCGTTCACAGCGTAGATCCGATCATGCCTAAAGCTCTATGGGGAGAACAGAGATTGATTGTATGAGACTAAGGACTGACGTCGAACAGTGGACCGCTAATCAACACTAACGAACAACAAATTGAACCGTAAGCTGAGGGTATTCCGTGGCAAGTTTCAAGCTCCCACATTGGTGTTTCGGTCATGCTACCGCGTTCAATATGCTGACTGCGTTGTGCATCACATATTTGAACCAAAGGCTCCTAAAGAAAACCCCTTCGTCGATGTGAGCTACTGCGAAGTATGTCGTGCTCGAAAATGTCAGATACCGTTTTAGAAACCCGATGACATCGCCATGCTGGGTGATAACACACAGACAGTCCAACAGGCTTCGAATCGCTTCGCGATAGAGGCATCCAGGTATGGTGTGCTTTGCACCCTCCAAGTGCAAAGTGCTTGTATAAGAATGGCAGGAGCCTGTGCCTGCACTCGCCATCTGTGGTAATCAGCTAGAAGTAGTTGAGACTGTCTGTTGAAATCCCATGACATGGCCACCTAAGACGACGCTGTGAAATTATTTTGCTCAACGGAACACTATCTAATCCTAGCACCGGTCGTCTGACTTCGTCGTTATTCACGCGATGCTCCCACCATACACGGGCGATGTTGCACAGACAACAGTTGTCGAAGACGGATAGTCGTTGGATGTTGGGCGCTGCCTATTTCTGAATAGTGTGCCGGAGATCGCTTTACACCAATAGACGAAACGAAGTTCGAGCATACAGCATTTTTTCGCTCCAGTTCACCACGGAAGACAGTATTCATCAGGGCGCAACCTCTCTCTCTTGAAGAGAAACAGCACAAGCAGGTAATGAGAAAGTTTCCTGTCGGATTGGGGAATTCCGAATAACGCAAATCGCCTAATATGATCCAAACCGATAGTGGAGAGGGTCAGAGGGAATTTGCTGGTTAAAGGTATCGGGTGCGAGGGACAAGATGAAGTGAAACGACGGCATAATCGCACTGTATTGTTATAGATTAAGCGCATATGCTTACATTTCAGTTAAAAAATGTACACTGTTCGTCACGCAGAATGAAATAATAAT